GTGTACCAATACATTGGGAGGAGTAAAAGAAATCATTGCAAAGTTACATGGACCCCATTTATTGATTTACTTCAAAACCATGTACATTCAAGCTGATACATTTTTAAAAAAATTCTTTTTTATTTTTGAATGTATAATTTTTAATGAGATTTTTTCATACCAAAAATTCAAATTTGAGGGCATTTAATCATTTCCTTTCTTAGTGTGGTTTGATCATGAAAAAATACTGTTTAATTTATTTAAAAAATTTATAGTTGAAGTCATGTTTGGTTAAATTTTATGCAAAAAAATATTTAGAATTTAAATATACTTTTTCTAAAGGCATAATATATAAATATGTCATTTAATTTGTTTCATCTAACATGTCCTTCAATTTTAGATATCCAAAAGTAGACACATAAACTTGTATAGAATTGAACAAGTTTACACTTGTGTCCTACGTGACAATATAATTCACGTCCTATGCGATATTTTATGTGGCTCCCACGTGTGTTATTCCCCGTAGGACGCGTGTGTCTACTTCTTCAACTTTATAAAATTTTAAGTGTTTACTTGTGCACTCCCTAAGTTGAATGTCATAGATGTCAGACGAAGCCAAGTTAAAAGATATATTTATATATTATGTTTTTCTAAATATGGTTTATATTCCTCAGTTTCTAAAAATTACTTGATTAATATACCTGAGACGTACAACCAAATTGCAATAAAAAAGTAATATCTCAAAATAGATAGTTGTATAATGTCATAGATTAGATCTCATATAAGAACTACCACATACTATAACAAAAAAATATCACTTTATTTAAATTTTTTGAAGTTGAACTTGTGTCAAGCTATTGATTTTGCAAATTATATTTGATTATTTGAATGTGTTTTTTTTTTAAAAAAATAAATAAACTACTATGAAATATAATTCAAATGGGGTCATTTTTATAAGAATAAAGAATTTGTGATAAAATTTTAAAAAGGATAATATAGTTAGGGGCTGTTTGGTTATTGGTTAGAGTTACGCAGTTTTTAGTAATGCATGGTTTAGTTATGCAGGATTTAGTTATGTGGTATTAATTATGTTGGTGTTAATTATGCAAATATTAGTTATGTAGGTATTACTTAGTTATGTAGAGATTACAATACATAAATTATTAATTATTGAATATATTATTTACAAATAAATAAGCAAGCAAATAGTATAATTTCCCCAAAAAAGGAAGAAAGAAAGAAATCTTCTCTATACTTAAGTGGGAATTCTATTTATTTTTTCTCTCTCTATTTTTTTTTAATGTTTAAAGCTTATAAAAATAAAATACCATAAATATATTTCAAGTACATTATAAAATCCTATTTTATATAATGTAAATTTCTATCAAGATGCTGCATGTATTGTTTGTACATTTTTAGTATACCAAATATATGAGTTATATATAAATTTATATTCCAAATAAAAAAACAATACATAATAATTAAATATGTGGAATATATTTAGTAATATATGGTGATAATATATGATTAGCATATGCGTTGTCAAAATTATACATTCCGATTCATATATTAATAAAATATTTATATTTTGATTTCAAATGAAAACAAATAAAAAATTGTTCGTATACAAAAGAAATAAGAAACAAAAATAGCTAGGAAAATAGAATAGTTATGTAAAGTTTTTTCTAGAGTTTTCAATATAAAAAGGTAATAGGGATAAATGTGTAGTTTTTTTAATACATGTATAATTAATACCCTCATAACTTATTCCATCTTTTATCATGCATAATTTATACATAGATTCCCTCATAAGTTATGTAGGTATTAATTATGTACGATTACAAAAAATGTAACCATATACCGTATAGAATTAATACAAGAATAACTTTTATACAATATTGAGAAACGTATCAACCAAACATGGTAAGTCATGTTGGCTTTTCTACCTAATACAAAATTTCTACCAAACATAGTAAAACAGATACAACTTTTTATATATGAGAAAAAAATGCATCTTATACGGTAACCAAACGGCCCCTTAAAGTATTAACAAGGTTTTGAATGTTTTTCAAATTTCAAATACAACTTTAAGTTATATTTGTAATTTTCATAATCAGATGTTGATTTTCAAATAAAGTGAAATAAAAAGATTATCTATTTCTTTGTGTTAATTTATTTTTCATATCTATTAAAAATAAATAATTAAAAATAATATTTATTATCTTAAAATAAGATATAATTTTATTTTATTTTTCATGTTTATACTACTCTAAATGTGAAAAGAATATCATCAAATTAACTGTTTAATTATGTTTGACATTATGTTAAAATAACCATTGGTGCATATTATATTGTATTGTTAATTAAGACAATTTAAATAAGTTACAAGTTATGATTTGATAAAAATATATGTTTATATATATATATATATATATATATATATATATATATATATATTATTATTATTATTATTATTATTATTATTGTTATTAATATAAAGTGTGATTTTATTATCATTTACTCTCGTTTTTATTAGAAAATATTAATGATAATTTTTCTTTTCAAAAAATTAATTAAATACCTCTTAAATTTGTAATATTGGGCCCGTTAACGGGCCCTTTCATATCTAGTGTTCTTAGAATTGTCAAAAATTCCTCTCTCAGAAAAGTAAAATGACATGACATTTTTAATGTATTTTATTCATTAGAAAAAGATAGATGGTATTTTTTTTAAAATATAAATTTGAGTAAAAAGTTTAACTCTACTCGTTCACATCGCCAATTTCGACTGCAAATAAAGGAGGTGGATAGCACTAGATCAATGAAAAATAACTTTTCACCCAATAAGTAAGGTAAGACCTATTTATAAAATTACATTATATTTGTTATTAGTGTAAATAAAACATTCATCATACTTAAAATTCTATTTAATATATTTCAGTAAGTAACTACAAGCTTTATCCACTCCTTTTTTAAAAAAATATTTATTAAGATTATCCACACTAAAATTTATCTACTAGAGAATTCAAATTAAAAGTACGTATAATTCGTCTAATTTGTATAATTCGCCTGATTGTATAAATCAAAATTTTGTATAATTCGGTTCTTGATTGTATAAATGCAGAATTTTTATATGTTTACCATAGCTATTTGTATCAGATTTAACAAAAAATCACAATAAATTACCATGTTTGTATATTAGCAAGTGAAATATACAAACGAAGTTCTGAAAAATTTCTAAATGTATAAATACGAAATTTGTATATACTTACCCTATCTGTATATTCGCAAGCGAAATATACAAACTGCAACCTCTATGCAAACAGAACTACAGCTATGAAGTGCAATATCAAAACTATAGATAAAACGTTATTATGTTTGTTGTTTCTCAAATTTTCTTAACTTTAAACTATATCTACTACTATCAAGACAAAATAAAATAGGTCTAGTTAGTTGGGCCATTTTTTCACTCCACCAAAACGTTTGTCTTTCTATGTGGCCCACCAAAATAAAAGACAAGTTTTTGCACGGATTGTCCTATTTCAGGGTGATCTTTAATTTTTGTCCTTAAAATTCAGTCTCTAAATTTTCATTTATGAATTTCGAACGATACCAAGGAAAATTTAAATATTTTTGTGTTTTAAAAGTTTTGATTAAGCCTTAAAAAAAAAAAAAAAAAAAAAAAAATAGACAAGAAGACACAAACAATTTTCTGTCCTCGTATAACATAGGACTAGGAATAAATACTTACCTACCGGCAGAAGGGATTTGGAAGGACATTATATTCATACCAACTAGGAGTGTCAAAAATGAACTCAAACATAGGTAATCCGTCCAATTTGTCCAAAATTTTAAGGGTAGGGCTCAAGATAATTAGAATTGGGTTCAATCTCAACTCATTCAAGCCTAATCCATTTTAAGAGAACCTTCAATTGAGCCCAATTCAATCTCCAATTTCAATCTGTTTTAAAATTCTTTACTAAGATATGTTCCTATATTAAATATTTAAATGTATGAATTATTATCTATTTAACATATTTTAGGATTTATCTATCAATTTATTACTTTTTTTTTAAAAAAAAAATCTTGAGCTGAAATTCGCAATGTGATTATAAAAGTTAAATATCACTTTGTTAAAATTATTGAGATTAATCGGATCAAATTGGGCGGGTCAAGATCCAACCCATTTTTTAGCCCATTTGAACCCAACCCATTTGAGCCCAAAGTAAACTTGGGCGGATCAAGACCCAACCCGATTTCTATTTCAACCCACTTTAATATCTCCAATTTCAACCCAACTCGCCCATTTGACACTCCTAGTACCAACAAAGACCACCAATAATTCTAGTCCATATATAAAGAAATAATCTTTAATTCCAAGTCTCGATGAATCTGTGGAGTATATACTATAAGAGATAAGATTACGAATGAAGATATATAAGAGTAATTTCAGTGATGAATAAGATGTGGAAAGTAAGATTGAGATAGTTCGAATATGTAAAAAGGAGGAGCACATGAGATGCTCTAGTAATCGAAGGTGTGAGAGGTTGAGACTGTGATAGCTAGGTTGATTGCGTGAGATATTTTATTTTACTTGTTCTATTTAGACTTTACACTCCTTAAAAAATAATGATTAATGAGTGTTTTATCACAATATTTATATTAATTGGTGTTTAATCTTAGGTCTTGAGAAATAATTTGTGGAATGAGTAATTAATGCTTAAAAATATATGATAATATATTTTTCTCTTAATATGCTGTAAATTTTTTATTTTTTTGTATAGTGAATGTATCGCAGGGAGCATACAATTAGATGGAAGGTAAAGTAGTTTGTGTTCTGATAACCAAATATGTTAGGAAAATGCCCATTATTACGTTTCCAGTACAATCCTGTAATGGAAGTTTTTTTTTTGGTCTAATCTTTAATGAAAGTTAGTTGCATCAACCAATCTCTGATTACATTGATTTCATCAATTCTAGAATGCATTTTCTTTATCTATATAATGCCTAGTAATGTCACACAACTTATAACATACATTTAATTCTTATAATTTTCAACATGGCATATTGCAATGAAAATATTGGAGTGGCACATGATTTTCTCTCCAACTTGCAAATTGAAGCAATCCAAACAGTGGCGCCAATGAAGCAAACTGATCCAAGGATATCGCGGCGAGTTCTCATTGGTGAAAATTCTGGCTCAGGCAATTTTCAAAGGCGTTTTCACATGGTGTTTTGCTATAACAAGGCGTCAGAGACGGATTCAGGATGGATTGTCGCTGGATGGATTAAGGAGTCACTAGGAAAGGCACTTGTTGAAAAACCATTACTTGCTGGTAGACTTAGAAGTATAGGAGAAAATGATAATAATTATGGGGAGTTTGAAATTGTGTCAAATGATTCTGGTGTTAGATTGATTGAAGCTGAAATGCCAATGAATTTTGATGATTTTATTCATCTTAAGGAAAAGAAAAATGTAGAAGGTCAGCTTGTATTTTGGGATGATATTCATGAGCCAAACACTCAATATTCACCACTTTTTTATGTCCAGGTTAGCCACACTACTTTTTTATTTGGTCTCAATTTTCACGTCATGAGATAACTTTGGGTTGAGTCAAGCTTAAATTTTATTTTATTTTTAAAATCATGCTATCAAAATCAGACTCATCTCATTTTTTGGTTTACCTGATATTGGAACCTACAACAACCAAATATATTAAAAATCAAATGTTATAATAGCAGTCGAAAAATTTGGAAACCAAGCATGTTATAGAAGTTTTGAGTGTAGAAGATGAAAATTTTTGTGAGTTATTAGCAAAAACATCTACCATATTATTTGAAATATTTGTATGGTCTTAACTTTTAATGGTTTTTTGAGATTTTGTTATAAATTCAAGGGCTATCTATAGAAGATCATACTTTTTTTTTTTTTTCAGGTGACAAATTTCAAGTGTGGATACTCGATTGGGATAAGTTGTAGCCTTTTTCTAGAAGATCCTTATTCCATGACTAGTTTCTTGAATAGATGGTCCAAAATTCATGTCAACATGGTATCAGAGGCAGATGCACCTAAAATTCCAACATTTTTCCTACCAAATCTTAGGAAACAAGGGTGTTCATCAACTTTATATTCGAGATCAAACACAAATAATTACCACGTTAACGATACGTTAATTTTTAAATTACCTTTGAAATTCTTGAATTTAAGTGATGATATCCACAAGAATAATCTTGTAGAAAAATGTGTTGAAGAGGTAGAGAACAAATTTGGTAAGAATTTGTCTACAAAATTGTGTTTGTTTGTTAGAGAAACCTCAGAGGATGTTAATGTTGAAACATTTTCTAGAGAAGGGATTAATCCATTTGGTTCAATTAAGACTGAATTAATTTCAGCTAATTGTTGGGATGATTTGGGATTAGCTGATAATATAAGGTTTAATGAAGAAAATAAGGCTGTCCATTTTTCATGTTGGATAATTAATCCGGGAGATGAAGATCTTGTGTTGATTACTCCATCTCTTGGTAATGAAAGTGGCTCTGAAAACAATGTTTTAGTTACAATGAGAGATTAATCTTTTCAAAGAGCGCATTTTACTCTTTTGCTGGATTGCTCAACATGAATTTGAATTAATCGAGCTTGCAGATTTCAAAGAAAAGATTGAATATTGTATGTTTGCTTTGTTTTTTATTTTCCTTTATATAAGCCCAAGATATGACATTATTGTTATTGTACTATGATTAATTATGAATGCAATTTTAGAAATATCTTGATTTCTCTTTCACTATGTTGTAAAGTGTGAATATAATTTCTTTTAATTTTTATTTAATCATCTAATACTTGAAATATACTAATCCAATTATTATTATTAATTTGAATTCATGTTAAATAGACTCAATAAGAAATAATTAGTAATATATATTAGCTTCCGATCAAGAAGTTTCGTTATCAAAGCTCTTTTTAAAAACCTTGCTGGAGGGCTTGTTTAGAAATATTTTTAGAGAGAGGGGCCATTACTAGTAAATATTTGTAAATCTTCGATGAAACTTACAAATTTATAAAAGAGTTAAAAGATTAAAAAAAAACACACATAAAAGTATTCCAATTTTGTTAGATTCATACTTGAACTATGGAGAGTTTGAGTTTCTATCTGAACTATCACCTAATAGTCAGTATTAGATAGAGCTGTCAATATGGGCTAGCCCACCCCATCCGGGCTAACCCATACAGGCTTTGACATTTTATGGGCCAGGCCAGGCTAGCCCATTTTTGGTGTGGGCTAGAAAACAGTCGGCCCAACCCACAAGTACGTGGGCTACAGGCTTGCTGGACCAGCCAACTTTTTTAAAAGTTATATTATTTTTTATAATTATTAAATTAAATTATAAATTATAATTTAAAAATATTATCATAAATATCGACAAAACAATATTACATGGTGTTAGTGTTACTACTTCTTAATCAAATCCACAAATAAAATTATCTTTATAATATTTATTAAGTGTTTTTTCAAGTATAAATATAAATATATAAATAGAAATATTAACCTAACTGTTTTGCAATGATCACAATAAAACACAAAAAATATGACAATATTCCAATCATAAAAAAGTAAAAAAGAAAAATCCTTAAAAAATTATGAAACTTATGGCGTATCTAACACTTCATGAAACCTATGACGTATCTAACACTTCATGACCATCTACATGAAGCATATTTGTATCAAATTGTGGGAAGGTTGTCTTAACATCTTCATTTTCATCTGCAATTTATATGCGGTTTCAATTAGTTAAATATTAAAAAATAACTAAATTGACAATTGTAATATTTAAATGTACACAAAAATATATTACCAGTTTGAGAAAAATCATGTAACTAGTTTCGAGTAGCAACAAGTGTTTGTACATTTTCATGGTGGATGCAACTTCTATACTTAGTGATTTCCTAAAAAACTTTAAATAGATTTTGAGTTTGGATCTCTTTAATTTTAAATTTTAATATTATATTATATTTTTTAATTAATTTTTATTGGCCACGGCCGGCCCTACCTATATTTTTCAAGCCCCACAAATCAACTGGCTTATTCAGGCCGGGCTGAAAAGCCTTTTTTTAAAATGGGATCCAAAATTTTTAGCCCAACCCTATTAAATCCCGAGTTAGGCCAGACCGGCCCAATAGGCCTAGCCCATATTGACGACTCTAGTATTAGAGCCATCAAAACGGGCCAGCCCAGCCCTACTCCTCCCAAGCCCCGTGGGCCAAATAATTTCACGGGCTGGGGCGGGTCGGCCCTTCATTTCAAAGGGCTGTAAAATGGTCAACCCGGCCCAACCCCAGAAGGGTCAAGGGCTGGGGCGGGCCAACCCTCTTTTTTTTTTTATGTCAAATCAATGTCACAAACAGTAACATTGTTTCAATAATTCTAAATAAAAAATCTAGCAATAAATATTTAAAGAAAAAAAAAATCTCTTAAGTAAATAATATCTAAAAAACAAACTAGTAAACTAAAGAACACTTCTGACTAAAACTTTAGTTAGCAATACATAATTACGTACTTAAAGTATTTTGTTAAATGAAATCAAGAAAATTGTTACATGCGTGAAAATTGTCCAATGTCGTAGCAGAAACGAGACGACAATAAACTATAAGAGTAAAGAGACAGAGAGTTGTAGTTCAAGAATTTAGATATTAGGGTTTAGGGACTTAAGGTTTTAAGATTAATGGCTTTAGAATTTATATGGCTTTAGCCTTTTAAATCTTCACGTACTAGTAGTCTAGTAGTACTAATCTACTATAACCGTATAGGTTAGAGGTTACATTTAAATTTTCTAGTTTTTAATATTTATTTTAATTAAAATTAAATAATTTGGCCCATGGACCAACCCCGACCCGACCCCGATCAAGCCTCAAAGGCTAAGGGCCTAAAAGGGTTGGGCTTATAAACCCCGATTTTAAATGGGCTTGAAAAATCATATCCCAATCCTGCCCTAATAACGGGTTGGGTCGGGCTGGCCCCATGGGCTTAGCCCTTTTTGACGGCTCTAGTCAGTATAATTAACTAATTTTACTATTTTAGAGTGTTGATTTCATGCATGTGATTTCGTTGCTACTTGTGTTACTCTACGTGTAAGTTGTTTTTGTCTAATATTTATTGTTGTATTGACATGCATGTACTCTTTTTTGTGGTCCATTTCTTATAATATAGGTCTCCTAAGGTTTCATTCTATTTGTTTTATGTTTTGGGGGGTTTGGGGGAGACATATGACTTTATTTTTTAGTTCTTTTGTAGGTGATTTTGCATTTATTTGATTGTGTTGGTGGAAAGTAGAATTTTTTGTTGATTTAGGATTGTTTGGTTTGGAATAAAATATTTTGGAATTAATTATCGTGATATAAGTTATTCAGGATAGATTATTCATGTATATGTGATAACTTTTTTTATCACTATATTAAAAATGGTGGGATAAATAATTTAAGGCCAAACACATATGCAGACCCTTAAATTTGTCCCTAAATTTCATTTTGGCACTCTAACTTAACCTTGTTCCATTTTAACCCTTTAACTCCAATTTTTATGTTTCATTTTGGCACTTCCAAGTGATGTGGCGGAGTGTGCACATCACACTTTCTCTAAGAGAGTGAAAGATAACAAAAAAAAGTATTTTTTTAAAAAATAATAAAAGATTAACCCTTCAACTCTATTTTTTTTATGCATCATTAAAACACAAAATACTAATTTTATGATTTCTTTATTTCTATATATGCTCTTCAACTGCAATTTTGAATTTTAAAAATCTTCGTTCATCCGTTAGTTATTGTAAAAAATTCAAATTGACGAATGACATTGATTTTTTTTTTAAAAGTAACAATTTCTTTTTGCGAGTTTCCCTATATTTTATACATGAAAAATAACCAACAAAAGTGCGTCAATTTTCTTTCTTAAGAAAATCAATGACAACCCAATGAAGTCTATCGAGTTTCAACATTTTTTATAGTGTTATTAAATCCAAAATTTGTATATGCTTACCATAGCTATTTGTTCAAGATTTAACAAAAAATCACAATAAATTACCATGTTTGTATATTAGCAAGCGAAATATACAAATGGGCTTTTGAAAAATTTCTAAATGTATAAATACTCTATTTATATATTTACAAGCGAAATATATAAATCATAGTGTTCATAGCAAACAAAACTATAACTATGATAGAACGTTATTATGTCAGTTATGTTTGTTATTTCTCAAATTTTCTCAACTTTAAACTATATCTACTACTATCAAGACAAATAAAAGAGGTCCAGTTAGTTGGGCCATTTTTTCACTCCACCAAAACGTTTGTCTTTCTATGTGGCCCATTTGAAACTTTGTCATGTGAATCCAATAACCCATGAACTTATTAAAAGACAAGTTTTTGCATGGATTGTCCTATTTCGGGGTGATCTTTAATTTTTATCCCTCAAATTTATAGTATCTATTTAAGAAAATGATCAAAAGCCCCCCCCCCCCCCCCCCCCTCCCCTCTAATTTGTATTCGAATTTTCAACTATACACTTTAACTTTACGGGAGTCCTATCACCCTCCTGAAGTGTTTAAAACTGAAATTAATACCTCCTTGAATGCTTAGCTGGCAAAGAGAGTTATTTCACTCTCTCAAAGAGAGTGAGCACAAAAAATAAATATTAAAACTTTATTTTTAATATCTCTTTTAAAAATATATGTATTTGTATTTTTTTTCTTATTTATTGTCTTTCTTTTCCATAGCAACCAAATTTCTTCATCGGATTCACCATTGTTGATTTCACACAAACTTTTTAACTCTCATGTAAAAACTTTTAAGAACCAATCAATTCCATTGAAGATAAAATGACATGTATTTATATCATCCAAAAAAAGAGATCTGGATCAGATTTGAAATAAATAAATAAATTGGGTTTACATCAAATTCAATTGAACTCCCAAATGAGAATGTTTTTTTCTTTTTTATTTATAGATCCTTTAATTATCAATCTCAAATTTCAATCAATAAGAGGATTGTACTCGTCTCGGTTGACCACCATTAATGGCATTGCTATTGTCTTCATTCGTCCTCGATCTTTCCTTGCTCACTTTTTTTAGTTTGTATTTCTGTTATCCTCTCTTTGTTGCTCGATCAACAGTCACCATTGTCGCCTCCTCCGGCAAAACCCAAACACCAACAAAAACCCTTTCTCCCCTCCCCCTCTCCTCTTATCTCTCTCGTTTCAAGATAACCACCATGAAAATCTACCTTTGTTCTCACATCGAGGTCGCCTACAACAACAATAACAAAACCTTGCGGCTACACTACTCCGACCAACGAGCTCCAGTAAAGCAAGCAAAACCTCGACGAAGCAACATATGCTCGGATTCTTTTAGTTTGTTTTTCAATCCGACAAGAAAAATTTGAATATTGCTTGACAAGCTCTTGCTATCAATATTTATCTTTGTTCCTCACAATGCAATAGGAATTTGAAAGAATTAGGGGAAGAATTTACTTTAGGAATTCGAAGAAATTGGGAGAGTATAGGAGAAAGTGGAAAAGAATTATAAAAAA